GTGTGTGTGTGTGTGTGTGTGTGTGTGTGTGTGTGTGTGTGTGTACGTGCGTGCGTATGTATATGGTGCGTACATATAGGGTGATTCGTATAAAGTGACCAATTTAATTATTAAAGAAATTTGAAGCATACGGAAAAATGGTTTATACTAGAGAGAATCAAGGAAGAATGGAATGGACTCATCTGGAAGCCGCCATTTCTAGAGCACCATTGAGTAGGAGATATAGTAGGAATCATGGTACAAAGGCAACGGTATGCTTATCCGGTAGTAGACCATTGCGTATGTACAAGCATGGCATATATCTCGCTTGGACAGATTCGACTGTTTTCGAAACGATTCATGCTAATGAAATGTGGTCGCCGAAACATGTATAATACAAATATGTGCCGAATAAATTCTGTAGTTTAAAATTCAAATGATTTCACATTCAAAATGCGTAGTGCAGTTAAAGAATGCCGAAATTATCATCATAAAACAAAAAATGAGTCGGCTTGAAAGGAATCGAAAAATTTTTCGAATTGAAAAGCATATTTAAAAGCATACATTTCAATTTCGCACTAATGATAATTTACGCTTGTGAATAATTCTTATTGGCTCTAGGGGCGTGGCCATGCGCACGATATATATTGTCGTCTTTATACCATGGTAAGAGCATGATGGAACATACGTGATGTACTAGTATCACTACACTAGTATTATGTGTAGTATGTCATATATGTACATACACACACATATGTACAGTTACGGAAGTGCACTATAAATGGAAAATTAGAGAAGAGAACCACTATCTGCTCCATTTTCTCTTGATTCTCTCTAATTTATACATGTTTAGTACAAAAAGGAACATCGCAATGGACATAATTATTTTATGAATGGTCGCGCTAGAGATATTTCAAGATGAACTTCATTTGTTTTAATGGAACCCTACTTTTTATTCTAGTATTTAATAGCCAATGTCGAGAGCTTTCAAAACATTATAATAAAGTTATTTTTCATTGAGTACTTTTCGAGTTATAAGGTTCGAAAGTTACCGCTGGCATTAGCATTATGCAAAGTTCGACGCGACGGCTAAAATCTCTTGCATGTTATTTAGGATGTCCTGGATTTATCAAAAAAACAATTGGATGTATCTTATTTTCATTGTACTTTTATTTTCATTTTTACGTAAAAATGAATTTTTAGTGCAAAAATGAGGGGAAAATAAGGGGAATAATCTTCAATAGCCTTGATCTTGATAAATGTTATTCAGGATATGAATCCGAACATTCGAGAGATATTAACCGTTAATCGAATACCTTGCTAATGCCTGCGACTGTATATCTTTCGAGCTTTATAACTCGAAAAATGCTCAAAAAATAACTTTGTTATAACTTTATTATAGTGTTTTGAAAAACTCTCGACATTGACTATTACATTTTGGAATCAAAAGTAGAGTGTTCCATTAAAAAAAATGAAGTTCACCTTAAAATATTTTCAGCGCATAAAATTTTCCGTCCATAAAATAATTTCCACTATGTGATGTCCTTCTTTGTACTGAACATGTTAGTATAAATTTTTTCGTATGTCTTTAAATTTCGCTAATAATTAAATCGGTCATTTTATACGAATCACCTGTGTATGTATACAAAATATTTTGAAAATAATGATAAATCTTTCGCATAGAGGCAGAATGACCTAAACTGAGAAGAAAGTTCTGTACTATTTTGCAATTTTCGCAATAATTAACAAGATATTAATTGCTAAAAATTGCCGAAAATTAATCTTCGATAACTTTTACTCAAATACTATTCAATTTTACAGAAAAACTACAAGCGAGAAAAATTAATTTTTTTCTCATAGAGCTCTAACAATTTTTTTAGAATTTTTTCTGAATTTTTTAATGTGTGCGTGCGTATTTTTTCATGTTGATAAAAATGAGAAGATGCAATATTAAAAAATTGATAAAAAATTCTGAACAAAAGAGAAGTCGTAGAGTTTTATGAAAAAAAATAAACAATTTTCGTTTCTGTTATTTCGTATATGCATATACAAATTGTACTGTAAATTTTTTCGACTCAGTCCGCTCTATCTACACAAAAGCGCTTTGCCAAGCGCTTTTGTGTAGATAGAGCAGATTGAGTCGAAAAATCTCCTATCATTTTACAATTTTCGTAATAATTAAGACAAGATATTAATTACTAAAAATTGCCGAATATTGGTCTTCAATAATTTTTTACTGAAATACTATCAATTTTACAGAAAAACTGCAAAAGACAAAAATCATTTATTTTCTTCTCATAAAACTCTAAGAATTTTTTTTAGAATTCTTAGAATTCTAGAAAATTTTTAGAATAGAAAGAAATTTTTTATCAACTTTTTAATACTGCATTCTCTTATTTTACAATATCAGCGTGAAAAAATACGGTATTAAAAAATTCTTTGCACACACACACACACACACACACACACACACACACACACGCGCGCGCGCGCGCGCACGCACGCACACACGCACGCATACACGCACACACACACAAAATCCGATCCGCAATCTTTCCGTAGTATACATCGGATAATATTAATGAATAAGAATTAATTGAATAAAAATGTATAGATATACAATTTTAGATATATAATTTTGATAATTATATCTTCTCAACAAAAAATCATACAAATCTTGATTTCTTTTAAATTTGCAA